CATCACCCAAGGTGGGTGGCACTGCATCCCTTGGGGCTGGCACCATCACCCAAGGTGGGTGGCAGTGTGGCTCTCAGGGCTGGCACCATCACCCAAGGTGGGTGGCACTGCATCCCTTGGGGCTGGCACCATCACCCAAGGTGGGTGGCAGTGTGGCTCTCAGGGCTGGCACTATCACCCAAGGTGGATGGCACTGCATCCCTTGGGGCTGGCACCATCACGAAGGTGGGTGGCAGTGTGGCTCTCAGGGCTGGCACTATCACCCAAGGTGGGTGGCACTGTGGCCCTCAGGGCTGGCACCATCGCCCAAGGTGGGTGGCACTGTGGCTCTCAGGGCTGGCACCATCGCCCAAGGTGGGTGGCACTGTGGCTCTCAGGGCTGGCACCATCACCCAAGGTGGGTGGCACTGTGGCCCTTGGGCACCAGCACCCACACTCATCCCTGTGCTGCTCAGCCCTGCCTGCCTGCTCCTTGGCAGTGCCACCAACACCATGAGGGAATCCTGCAATCAGGTGTTCCCAAAAATGCATCAAACAGGGCAGTGCTGATTGAAGGCATTGTGCTAAAACAGGTGACCCATGTGTAAAATGAGGTGATGGCACCCATTCTAGTGTGAACGGGATCTTGGCGTTATTGTACTTACCACATCAATTTAAGATTTTTTTTTCTAGTTTTGTTGAGTATATTGAGGTGTCAGGAATTAAAATCCTTCTGCACCAGATTTTAATTTCTTATAACAGAACCTAATGGTTTCAGTTGCCTTTTAGTAACTGAGGGTATCTGTTACTACAGCTGTCTACCCTCCTAGTGGGATAAGAATTTTATCTGTGTTCTCTTGATAATTCGGTTGGGTTTCCTTGGAGGTTTGCTTCTGTGAATTAAAGTTCAGGAATAAATAGCAGTTAATGCGTCATAGGAGGATGCATGACAACAAAATATTTTTTTTTTCTGGCTATCTCTGTTTTTTCGTTTTTCTGAAAATGCATTTATTTAAATTTTAGTTTGGGACTACACTACAGGAAGAGTGGGAGCACCTTTGGTCTGTTGTGAAATCAAGTTAATGAACTGGGAAGAAGGTGAGAATTCCTGCTTATGATTTATTTGTAATGTGTTTTTAAGAACTGTGTTTTTCTATTGGGCTTTGCTCTGTAGCAGTAATTAAAGACTATTTCCTGGCTGTTTGCATTTTAAATGCTACTTTTGCCTATACAAGTTTGCTCTTGGGGAGAAGAAATGTAAAATAAATTCCTCAGCAGTTTCAAAACAGGGAAATATCCAGACAGAAGTTATCAATGCAAGTGGCATTTTGGCTAGGTAGTATGCATGATACCTTCAGTTGCCATGAAGAAATTATTTTAAAACAATGTTCATAATATTATTCATAAAGTCATTAAAATTGGCGTGCAGAATAGAAGCTTAGTGGATACATTATAAGATACATATAATAACTTTTGAAATGCATTTGGGTATTTCTTTTCTCTGCAGGCTTTTATGTACTGTAGAGTAGAAATCCATAATACTTAAGTGTGTTTTGGACTAATGCAAAACCTTATGGATTTTTTTCTTCTCTAAATTATGAGGCAAAATTATTTCGTTTTATATGAGCCTGTGTGAAACTGATAAAGCACATTACTTACTCCTGCCAGAAGGATGGCACAAATTTTTCCTTTGGAATATATTTTCATTCACATAAACTTAATAAAACTCCCCATCCTTCCAGGTGGATATTACAACACCGATAAACCATATCCTAGAGGTGAGATCCTTATTGGAGGGCAGAATGTGACTGTGGGCTACTACAAAAATGAAGCACGAACCAAAAAAGATTTCACTGTTGATGAGAATGGGCAGAGGTGGCTCCATACTGGAGATATTGGAGAGTTTCATCATGATGGATGTCTAAAAATTATTGGTGAGTTAATAAATTCAGGTAACATGTATATGTATTGATATTTATATACGCACACATCTTTCAGGGCTGTGAAATACAGTAAGGAAAAAAAAATCCATATCTTGTCATACAGTCTAAAGCCTTCCTATATATCCCAGGGAAGTTCTGATATGTTAATGTGAACTTGTGTATTTTAGAAGCTGATTTTTGCTTCACTTTGAAGCAGTCTTAACATTGGCTTACTAAATTAGTGAGACTGGGTAGTATTTAGGGAGTTAAATACAAACTAACTGAGTAGATAAGCTGCCTTATATTGTATCATTTTGTATGGCTGTGTTCAATAACCTCAAGTAATTTAGGCATAAGTTTTGGTTTCTATTGTTTTTCAAGCGAAAGGTGAACAGTTGCTCTTTAAATATGGATTTAGCCTGAAATAAATAACATAATGCCACCAAATGGTGCATATTTTGCTTTATGGGTCTGGGCCAGACAGCACAATATGTGTGCTCCTGGCTAACAGTGCCTTTGCATAGTCCTATTTGTCCTCCATGCACATGATGGTGCTGTCATATAGGAAATGCTGTTCTGAAGGCAGAAAATGCATGGAATTGTAATATCCCTAATTTTGTTGGGACAGACAGACTGATAAAATGCATTCTAGAAACATAACATTATAGGTTTCTGGTGTATTCACCAAACATGAGCCAGTTTCGATATTTAAATAAGCATTTCAGAAAAATGTAAAATCAATGTTTCAGAGTTTTCTGTTCTGTAATTAACAGTTAATTCCTTTCTTCCTCGGTAGATCGCAAAAAGGATCTTGTAAAGCTGCAGGCAGGAGAGTATGTTTCTCTTGGCAAAGTAGAAGCAGCTCTGAAGAATCTCCCACTGGTGGATAATATTTGTGCATATGCAAGCAGGTAAGAGCAGGTTATACTTTGTTACTGCTCTGTTTTGTCCTCTTGAAACAATTCTTTTTGCCGCTCAATGTGTAGAATTTTTTTAAATCCGCTAAAAAAAAGGCTTTTACTTATAATACAATGGAATAACTATCAAAACTAAAAGATCTGAAGTCCAATTTTTATTTTTCCTTTCTCATTTGTTGTCATCAGTTATTGGGAAATACCAGTGATGACTCTTACATTCCCCCTTCCCCTATCTTAAATGCAGCTGAGCTCTATTGCATTAATTACAGGCATCACTCAAGCACTTTGAGATTGTTACCTTTAGAAGCCCTAGGGCACCTTGTTCCTTGCTGTGTTTAGTTGTCATTTGTCCTTCAGAGGAAGTACTGGGGTACTTCAGAGGAAGGTGGGAGAAAAACCACCAATGGCACAGTAGCTGGCTTGTGATTTAAAGTTCCTTTTCTTTATCCCTGCAGTACACCACCTTGAAGCTTGAGAAAAAGCGCAGTCTAAACACTGTGCAAACACACAATAAATGACAATCGAATGTCATTTCTATTTGCTTTATATGTGTACTAATAAATGAGGTGATAAGGGCTCAAACATGTCTTAAGTTTCTCTTTCTAGAGTTTCTTAGCTCTTACACATATAAATATACTTCAGGTGGTCTTTGTTTCCTGTTGACATTTGACACTGATGTTTGGAAAGTTATTTTCGAGCTTCTGAATGATCAGAAATATTCTGACTCCCATTAATGTCTCAAAAAGCCCAACTTTACTTTGAAAGAAGCCAGGATAAGCATACCAGAGAATTGCTCAGTGGTAATAAATAAAAGAATTAACTTGTGGTTTGTTCACCTGGTTCTCTGTAACTTTGGGGGGTTTGTGCAGTCCTTATGTGACTGCAGTTGTGACAGCTTTGGATCAGTATGCTGGCATGCATTGAGCCAGCCACTGCTGAGGAAATTTCCATTCTTTTAAGCTTTGTTTGTGGTTTGGACTCAATGTGTAAGTCTCACATTTGCTGGCTTTGACAGCCTGAAGTGCAGCTGTTCCAAGCACCCTCTGTAATCTTTGGAGAAGGAGCTTCCAACATGTGATTTCTTCTCTTCCAGGATTGCAGTTCATTATTGGACTTGTGCTACCAAATTTTTGTGTTAATTTTGCCAGGCCAACATAACATTGGAAGCAAAAATGCACTTGCCAACCAGACACTTGACTGTGATAGGCCATGTCTTGTCTATTACTTAAAAACAGGAAAACCTATGAGCAATTTTTAAAGGTAACTTAGAAACAAGAGTCCAGACCAAGGACAAACAAGACAGGACATTCCAGATTGGTTTTTCGGTTGCTGCTTTACTTTCTTAATGCTGTTATGTGTGTGATGTGGCCTGAGTAGCCATGTAATAGAGTTCCTGAATAATTGTCCATATGCACATTTCATTGTGGGCATGGGCTCACCTCAGCAGTGTGAGCTCAGTGAGATTTTGTAACAGTGCCTGTGACCTTTCTTGGATCCTGTCTCTCCTAATACTTGGCCTGGGTGATCTCCTGTGCAGGAGGAGTCCTTTGTTTGTAGCTGTTCTGTTTCCCACGTGCAAAAGTACAAGGAGGGCAGACTTGTACAAATGGGTTTAATATCTGATTTGACCTTAGATTTAGGGTGCAAAGCTCCTCTGAACACGGTAGTAGGGAATCAGAGTTGTTTGCATGATGTTGCTACTTCAAAAGCTGTGTTGACTTCAGACAAAATAAGTGAGATAAGGAATAAAAACATTTGCTGAAAGGAATGGTGATTAGAGCTCTGTCAGGGGAGACTCCTACTGCTCTATCAACTCTTCACCCATCCAAGACACATGAAGTAGATTTTAAGCATCATGTCAGGAAAATGAGTAGCTCGGTTACCTGAAGAATGAGCAAACATGGCAGAAAACCTGAGGAAGTCCTCAGCCATCTCAAGGAGATAAGGACCAGGCTTTACAGAATAGAAACAGTGGTATCTATGCAGTGCCATTAAATATGTTTCTGACCACAGGTTTGAGAGCCATCCGTGGGTAGAATCATAAGCACAGCAAGGGAATGAAGCTTCCTAGTGTAGGACTGACATTTTGGCAAAACCTTTCATCATGTAAGGGATGACTAAGGAGGTCTTGAGGACCAAAGTCTGAAAATTTCCACTGAAAATCACTTCCAAGACAAAGGTACCAAGTACAAAGGATCAGCATAGGGAGCAGCGACAGGGCAGTGACTGCTCGAGAGGGAAGATGTCCCTTCAGGATACCTTTTAAGAGAAAACAGTGCTTTAGCATTTGAACTGCAACAAGTGAAGATTTAACTTTGTGGCACAGAATGAAAAACTGCATGTACCAGGAACTGAGAGCTGCAAGGTGTTCTTTCCAAGAAAAAAACTATTGGATGAACCTGTTTGTCCAAAACAAGTACACTTCTACTGAAGGAGCTGAATTTTAGAGGAACAGAAAGTTTGATGCTTACCCAGGCAACTGATTACTTCTGTGTACTGTTTATCCCTGGAAACACTGGTGATATTGCAGGACATGATCTTGAGCATGTCAAAAGACTATAGGAACCAGGAGTGAAACAAGGGGTTCAGTGCAGAGTACAGCATGAGTGTGCATGGGGGAAATGGGGCAGAGGCAAAGGCAGAAGGTGAGATGCAGGCAGTAGTGATAGTGAGGCTAATCTGAAATCATCCCTTAATACATTTTCAGGAAGAGAAAAATGAGAATGGTTTTGTGCTGGCAGGCAAAGCTTGTGATGGTGCTGCCAGGGAAGTCTGTGTTTATAATGGACATTGGTGCTGTCTTCTCAACTCCTGTCAGATGCCCATTATGGTTCATTCCAGTAACAAAGGAGAAATTTGTACTGTGCAGTAACCAAAACCATATTTAGAGGTAGTATCTTCAAAGTATCTTGAAGACCTTAAAGAATATAGTACAGTAATCTGCATGCTAGGGCTGAGTTTCCATATTTTGTATTAGTGATCTGTCTGGTGAGAGTTGAAAAGATTTAATAATTCTCTAGATAGTTAAGATGGAAGGGAACCAAAGCCACAGTGGAGGATAGGATGAGAATTCAGAGCAGGCTTGGCTAGGTGGAGATTTGCTTGAAAGCAGCAGTAAGTTGAAAGAGAGGAGTTGTAGATTATACTTAAAGCTAAATAAACTGCATAAGTTAAGAGTGAGAACCACCAGCTGGTAGCAATTCTGTAGGAGCTGACATGAGTCCACAAGTGCCACGCTGTTATAAGAAAGTAAAAGGCATAACCAGATGTATTGCCTACAAAATGCACAATGATCTCTCTGCTCTAACAAGTATTAAGGGGTCTGAGTTCCACATGTAGCCCATCTGAAGAGATTGACCTCATGGAAGGAATCCAGAAAAAAATGGCAATGTCTGGGCAGAGACCTGTGATGGCCTGAATTTGGAGGAAAGGGCACTGCTGATATGTCTAAATAAACCTAGAAAAGGAAACAAGATTAAAAAGGTGACAAGGAAAATCTGTAGATGAATAAATAGCTTCTGTGGAAAAGAGGGGGACATCTGACACTTGTGAGGTAAATTTCAAAGAGGAAGAGTCAGGTGTTGCTGTCAGCAGCAGCTTATCTATGCTATGAATGATGAAGTGTTGGCATTAGTGCTTGCTGATGTTTAAGCAAGATATAGACAAACATCTCTTTGATGTATCTGACCCTGCTTCAGGGCAGGTGAATTGATTAGGAGCTCTTCTGAGATCACTTTCAACTCTGGCTCTGTGATCTGCTTTGTTAGAATGTGTCAAGCTGCTGTGTGAGGTTCTGTGCACATTTTACCTAAACTTTGCACCATCAGAAAAGCTTTGAATACCTACTTCAGAGTGAATTGTGCTTCAGGGCCCAAGGACTTAGAGATCACATCTTCCTGTGCTTTGGCATGTCAGGAGCAGTCAAAGAGTGCCAACAGCAGAGTGAGTGTATGGACAATCACTGGAAAGAGAAAGAGAAGTCACTTCCCTTACAGAAGCAGGCATCCTTTGAGATGTGTTGTGCATATGCTCATTCCACAACCTGCTGTCCAACCCCTCTTCACTGCAGTCCTCTGCTCCTCTACAGTAACTGGACTCTGCAGTTGAGAGGAAACTGAGGTAGGGAGGCCTCACCCCAGGCTCCATTCCGGGCTGCCAAACATGAGCAGAGGCATCGTGTGGGTGCTGCTTCCCAAAGCTTTGGGCAGAGACACAGTGGAATATGCATATGGACAGCACACCTTGAAGCAATCCAGTTACTGTAAGGTAAGTAGCTTCTCTTTCTACTTACATTTAAGCAGGCAGAGGTAATTTGTGTACTATTTCAGAAGGATTATCAGGTGAACAAAAGCCAGCTGTTAAGAGCAATATCTCTGTGTGAAGTGTAAAACCCCCAGCTTGAAATATTGTTTTTGAAGAGTTGTTTACTTTGCCAAATTCATACTAAAGTACATTGTGCTTCTCAGTTTCCATTCTTATGTCATTGGATTTGTTGTGCCAAATCAAAAGGAGCTTGCAGAACTAGCCCGAAAAAAAGGATTTAAAGGAACCTGGGAAGAGATCTGTAACAGTCCTGAGATGGAAAAAGAGGTTCTGAAGGTGCTAGCTGAGGCTGCTGTGGCAGGTGAGTGCCTGGATAGATGGTATCAATCTTGCAGACTGCTATGTCTGTAAAATAGGTAAACATAGGCCCTAAAATATTTCCTTGTGTGTGTATATTTCATTGAACCTGTATGAAGTGAGATTTGAAAACAAAAGCCCCCAACAACAAAAGATTAATTGGGTCAGTTCTTTTGTCTCATGAAGCTTCTTTTAGTGTGGCCCATAGCTGAGGAAAGAATGTAAAACCAGTGAAGCTTTACAAGTACAGTTCTCTGTATATATGTGTGTTCTTTAAGATGTCCTGTAGTATCTTGTTGGCTTTGCTGCTGGTCCAAAACCAGTGTGGGCCAACTACAGATCCATAATCATAATGTGCATATTAGGTATGAGGCAGTCTCACATGCTGCTCTGATGTAAAACTTGTTTTCATTTTTTGTATAACATTGTTCTAATCAGAATTAAGTACTTTTAAAGGTTTGATGAAAGGTAGTATTTGATTCAATGCTTTTGATGTTATTTTATATTTGGTTTTGGTTTTCACATTTTTATCACAGGCTTTACCTTTAAATACTATGGATTTTAGTGACAAATTGCAAAAAAAACCCTGAAAACCCAAATCTAGTAATCTAATGCCAAAGGGAGAAAAAGAGGCAGGAAAATCTAAAAATGGCGGGTTGCACATGATAAATACACATTTGTGTATATTTTTGAAATTCAGCTTTAAAGGAGAGTATTTTTTTATTATTGCTATCTGTTGGCTACTTTTCTTAGTTATTTTCTTTTCTCATATCTGAAGCCACAGCAGAAATTGTTGCAGATGGTAGTGTTTTGTGCTGAAGGTGTAACATGGAGAGCACTGCTCTCTTTCAGTACAGGGAAGAGCTCCCATATGAACTGAATTCCCTTGATCAATTTAGAACTATGAGGAAAAAACAAACTCCCCCATTTTTTCTAACCTAAGAGTATGGATTTTAAGGTTTTCTCTCCAGATGATGAGTACCATGATGCTGATAGAGTTTTCTCAGGCCTTCTGCTGGCCAGAGTGACCCTGAGATGTGTTAGAAAGTCTCTTTTCCCAGCCTGGCAGTTGAAGAAGGAGTCAGAACTCTTCTGTTTTCGTTCTCAAGGTTGTTTATTCTATCTTATCTATAAAATTCTTTCTCTGGCCTGCTGAGGTCCATTCAGCAGGTCAGACAGAGGAACACTGGCTGCCCTTGGGCGGTCTAATCTTTTATACTAAAAACTACATGTACAATATTTACAATGACTTCCCAATACCTATTACCTGTGTTAGACAGTGGGATTCTACCTTAAACCAATCCAAAAGTGCCAGCATCACAGTAGAAAGTGGAGGCCAAGAAGAAGGAGAAAGACTGGACACACCCAGATTCCTCTATCTTGCCTCCTGAACCACCATTCTAAAAACCCCAAAAATCTATTTTTCACCTCCGTGACAAACTAACTAGGCTTTCGTGGCTTGCAGGTCCTCATATAAAATTGGTAATTTTTTCCATGGATCATAATTAAAGTCACAGGTGTCCTGGTCTCTGTGCCAAGGTCTCTGAGCTCCCTGGCAGGGGTTTGAGCCATCCAAGACAGACAGAGGGATGTCCTGAATTCCATCAGAGTTTGTTTTGAGGATATCATTTCCATGTACTGAGGAAGTGCATGGAAGTTAGGGAGCTGCATAGATACCTGAACAGCTGGGCTTTATTCCAGTATTTCTGTGGAAATTGGACAAACAAGTACTAGCAGATTGTGTCCTTCTGCTTGTGACCCCAGAGGTGGCCAAACCAACCATGGGGAGTTGGAGGGGCACTTCTTCATTCAGGTCACCTGTGTGAGAACATGGTTTCTCCTTTTGCGCTTAACTTCAGGAAAACAGCTCCATTTAGGTTCTGTATTAAAAATGTTTCTTTCCACAGCAAACCTGGAGAAGTTTGAAATCCCAGTGAAGATCCGTTTGAGCCCGGATCCCTGGACCCCAGAGACTGGTCTGGTGACGGACGCGTTCAAGCTGAAGCGCAAGGAGCTGACGGCGTTCTACCAGCCGGACATTGAGCGCATGTACGGCACCAACGTCAAATAGCCCCTGCCCGCTGCTGCTCTGCCCAGCTGGACCCAACAGCAAATACTTGAATTGCCTGTCTCAACCCGACACTTGAGATCAACACACAAAACCACCACTCCTCATTCCCAGCGCAAACTGCTCTTTCTAATGACATCTAATGACACACCACGATGACTGGCGAGTTTGGTAAAATGTTATGGCAGCAAATTTGGGTGTCTCCTTTTCTCCAGTTTTCTCTGCCACCTTGTCAGTCTGTGGATTTTCCCAGGTCTTTTTGGGAAACCATGATTCTGAAGCCTCAAGTTTTTAAACATTTATAAATCCTGTATAATGTTTTATTTGTATCTTTAAAATTTGGATGTATATAGAGAGAACTTGGCTATATAAGAAATGGTTATACTGGGGGCCTTTTTCTACCTAATTATTTAAAGATAAGAAGGTATTGATGTTGTGACATTATGCACATTGCAAATGCTTGTAACAAGGTAATTGTTGAACAGAGGACCAGGTTATTTGCTGCTGTGCTATTTTTCTGTGTAAATCTGAGGGAGAAAATGTTTGACATTCCAGCTTGTGTAATGCACCTTCAATATGTGCCTAATGGTTACTTTTATTTTTATGTGAAAATGGAAGGATGGTGGTGGCACAGCTCTGCCTCAAGGCAGGTACTCTTGCAGGTGTTAGTTAAAGCTCCTTTAATACAGAAGATGCTATTAACACAGCAGAAGTTCAACCTAGGAATAATCTCTCAGATACAGAAACTCCTTTTTTAAATAGCTCGTGACCATTTCATCCAGAGCTGAATTGTGTAGTGCTAATATGAACTCTCATCATTAATTTCACCTTATACTTTACAAGCTTGACTGTGTCCTTTTAACAGAGGGACTGTAGCAACCTTTGTCTTTTCTCATTAGGTCTGGACATTACAGTGGATTTCCTCTTTTGTTGTTTATTAAGGTTTGGCAAGACCCCTGCTCTGCCCTAGCTGCAACCCAAATCTTCCTGGGGGGATTTTTAAAGTCATAATGACAGTTATGTTCTCAGCTCACACAGTGCCTAGCTGCCCTTTGTGCCATTAAAAATCTCCCTTTGATTCTCTGTTCTTTTGTGTTGTACTTTTTGCTTTAAAAACAGATATTTGAAGCATTTGTCAGCCAGAGTTATTTATGTTGCTTGGTTTGTTATATCTAATTCTTGCTTTGGGAAAGAGTCAATTTCTGTTTCAATAGAGATTCATGGATATTGTTTGAAAAAATATGGGGGCTCTTTTCATCTTGAGTAAGAGCATTCAGATTTGTTTCAGATGTGAATTTTATTTTCAAAATATTTCTGGAAAGAATATTCAGGGTTACATGAGAATGTGAAAGGCATACATTAGTCAACTTTGTGATGAAGCAAATACTAAAATGGTTTTAATTTGGAGATTACTCTCTTGTGTATCCTTTACTTGTAGTACTAAAACTCAAGGTCCTGATGCTTACTTAGTGCCCTGCTATGGTAGCACATGGCCATGCTGAAACTTGGTTTGGGAGAGGGAGTTCCTGCTGATTGTCTTTGTGACATGAGGTCTGGGGAGGTGTTTGATGTGCAAATTCTCATTTTATAAACCTCTGAAATATTGTTTTAATTAATGCTCTCCATTGACTATAGAAAGCAGATTCATAGGAGTTACAGGCTATCAAGCAGGTTCCCTGATGAAATGATTGAGGTGGTTTGTGCTAATTATGGATTTCCCCTGCTGCTGTCCATGACAAACTGTTAACATTTGGTAAATTTGGTGTAAGTAATCAAATGAAAATAGAAGCAACAAAAAGAAATCAGAACCATGTTTTTGAGATTACTGCCTTTAGATATCCAGATCATGAATGAAAAACCTTGTGACAAATAGAGATAAGACAATGTTGAAAAATGACTGAAGAATCCAAATGTGGAAAAATTGCCAAGGCTGTAGGGAAGTGTCACACCATGTATTAGACATTACTAACACTTAAATTTCTATCTGTGCTCCATCAACAGGTTCTTAAATAGAACTCAGCACAGACTGTACATTGTTCAAATATTTTTGTGATTTTTTAGTGAAAAATAATAAATTGCTGAAGTACTATGTATATCACTTGGTGCATTGTGCAGCAGATTTAAGAAAATAAATCTGCGTTTGGTTAAACAAATCTGAAGTTAGTATTTTGTTCTGCTAAGGGTTTAAATCCCCTTTTGAGAAATTGCATAAAGGAAACTTTTAAAATGGTTTGGAAATAGTTTTATTTTCCTTTTTTCTAGTCCAGTCACAAGATGGGGTTGCTGTCTAACTGTGCATTTGATTTTACAGTTCAGGGGTTTTTTTATGTTTAAAATTGATATGATATATATAGTTTCTCTTTCATTAAGCATTCAGATTCATTGTGGACATTTATTTCTTCTACAGAATGTGAAAACAAAGCAGTTCATTAAGTTCAGTCTCAGTGCTGGAGACAGACTTTTAAAAAAGCTTTGTGATGAGTGTGGGGCTTTTTCTTTTGATTTATAGCAGAAGAGAGACTCCACTCCTGCTGGCTTGTGAGTGTCTCCGTGTCCCACTGAGGCCGCCTGTGCTGGAGGTGCTGGGGCTGGGACGTCACTCAGGCTGAGCTCAGCTGTGGGGCTCCCTCCATCCCTCCCCTGCTCCTCTGGCTGCCACTCCTGCTTTGCTGAGCACAAGGACAGCTTTGGAGGGGTTTGTTCCAGCCCTGCAGAGATGCACTGCTTCCCAGCTGGCAATCTCCTCCATAATTTTTAATTTTTTTTTTGTTTTTTGTGTATGTCTTCCCATGCCTGAGTAACAAGAACAAAAGTACAGAGGTACCTGCTGGAATGCACTGCAGTGTCCCAAGGGCTGAGGGCAGCTGTGCAGAGCTGAGAGGTGTTTGGGAGGAATGGTCTCTGTCACATGGGGGATCTGCGATGGAAAGAACTGTAACTTTAAACAATCTGAGTTCAATCTAAGAGCAAGGGGCGTATACCTCACCTGAAGGGCCCCCAAAAGAGGGGGATTTTTAACAAAACTTTTGTAAATAAAAACTTATCAGGTCTCTGAATCCTTGAAAATTGTAACTACTTACTCTCTTGTGAAAATTGATGTATTTCATTTATTAAAATGGTTGACCAAGAAATTCCAGGGATGCTGTGACTATCCTTTAAATTTCACAATTCTTTAAAACATTTTCAGGACTTCAGGCTATCATTCAATCTAGATCTAAGTGTTCTTTACAGAGCATAGGATTTCTGGGTAGGTGAGAAATTCAAAAGTTACATGTCAGAATAGTGAGTTTGCTGCTGCTGCAGGTCCCCTAGAGGCAGGAGCACACCTCAGAGGGGAGCTGCAGCTGAGCAGGGAAATATCCTGCTGGAATGGCAGTGACAGCAATGTGTGACTGGAGCTAAGAACATAACAGGTCCTACATCCCACTGCTTTACACACAGATGCAGGGAAGGGTGTGGAATCCAAACCCTGCATTAGGAACGGCCTGTAAAGCTGGTAAGTGTATGCAGAAATTGCTATAGGACATAAAACTCCTTTGCAATAACCTTTGTCCTGCTAAAATTCACAACCTTTTTATTCTGTACTAAAACTACATTTAGGTGATGCAATGCAGCATTTTTAATTTTTATTACTGTGGTGTATTAACTGTTTTGGACTTGGTATAAAATAGTGTACATCTGTTTCTTTACTGGTAAGAGGAACAATTTTCAACTTGCCTACACCTTGGACCAGGCTGAACATGAATTGAATGACCAATTGTATATTGTTATAATGGGTTATTTAATGTAAACTCATTTTCAATGTGATCTTGGTTGTTACTATGAACTGCCTGAACATTGTATACCCTATTTGAGTTATATTGTATGAATTATTTATTTGTAATTGGATATCATGTTTCAAAAATAAAATTAATTTCACAAATTGGGTCCTGTATATACAATTTTTTCAGTGGTACAGAGTTGATAATATAGAAATGTGTTCATTATTGTCAAATGTTTCAAATACATGTGACCATTTTGGACTGAATGCAGGAGCAGAAATTACCCAGGTTAGTGTGGATTTTCACTGCAGGAAAATTAATAGTGTTTGGCCAATTTTTATTTGCATATGACCTGGTTTCAAAAGCACTGGCTGTGGGTAATGCCTGATGTAAGCTGTAGGCTTATGACTTTTTTTTCCTATCCAAGTGTGCTGGGACTTTTATTTAGTGTGTAATTTCCGTTAAGTTTGTGTGTTGCAGGGTCAGATACTAGATGCTTGCAATCGGACTTCTAAGGAGATCTTGAGCACTTAAATTTCAAATTTTGGTTACAAGCTCACAAGCCATTGCTGGTGACAGTCCAGCCTGGAGGCATCTAAGCAGAAGCCTCTTTTACCTTTTTTGTGTCTCTGTTTACAGGTTCCCCAAATGCCCAGGGTCATTCATAGGGCTGACAAAATGTCAAACCCTCATTGCTGTGTAGCTGATATTTTTGTTTATCCCTTTAACTAGCCATGAGAAGGGTTCAGCTTCCTCTAGATTCAGTTATATCCTAAGTTATTTTTTTCTTTCAAAAATACCTGGAGGGTTTTAAGACTGAAAATTTACTTCAAATGATTTAGGTTAATGTGATTCTCTTTAAATAATTTTTTGTTTTTCTTTTCTTAGACATTTATAGCTAATAAAATGCTGTTAGGGGTGTCTTTAGTAAAGAAGAAATAAACAAGTTCACAACGATTATAATAGGTATTTATAATAGCAACTAATTTCAGGAAGGGTAAATGTAACCATATCAGAAAATATGTTAATGTAGCCATTACAGAGGCACGGGGATCCAAAATAGATACAATAAAAATACAAATAAAAACATTGTAAACCTGAGTTGCTATTATTGTCTACAAAAATCCAGGGTGACAGGAGGAAGAGGGTGTACTCAAAGAGTTGAAAAGGTGAGTAATTTTTGAAAAAATAATTGTAATACTTTAAATGGATTCAGCTGTGGGGCTGGAGGGACAGCAGCTGTGCATGGCTGGACATTTCAGAGTGTTGCCAGGTATTTTCTATACTCTAGCTACAATTAAAATAGTACCTGTGGCTTTTAGCTAGTAGTGTCTCCATGATTTGAATTCCAGATTTCATTATGTAGACTGGCTTCAGCCTTTAATTCCTGCTTTATGTGCAAACAAGGCTGGGCTGTAGCCAAAGAGCTTGCACAAGGCTGGCCTTCAGGGCACTTCCATCTGCAGGTACTCCTGGGTGGGCACCCCCAAATGCTGCCTGGTCCCCAGTACAAGGTGGTTGGCAGAAAAGCAAACTCTGCTGCCCTGTTGGGAGCTGGGTGGGTTCAGTTTCCTGGGAGAACATGTACCCAAAAGGATACATGCAGCGTGTCATGCATGAAATGTCAAAAAGATGTTTGATGTCAGACTTCAGGGGTGCTCAGCCTTGCCAAGTGCAACAGCAGGAAAAACCATGTACATATTTGAATGCCTTACTCCTGAATTTCCATGTATTCCACCGTACCCTTTCCCACTGCATTACAAGTGTGTGTTTATTTCTGTCTCTGGAACTGCCATGCCTTCTATTGGTAGCAAGGTTGGGTAGGTTGGCTGGTTTTTGTTTTGGTAATTATTTGCAGATAATTGGGAGAGAACTTTATGAATGTAAGAGTTAAACCTCAGTGGAAAAGTTTATATGGCTTCCCATTGATGTGCAATCAGTAGTGTTTGGCAATGACCTTTATTCCTCTGAAATGGTGAGATTTTGATGTAGGCCCTTACATTGAGTTTCCTTACATAAAGTGAATTTACATTGAGTTTCTGCTAGTTTAGGCTCCTAGGGATGTTAAGAGAAAAAGAAGCATCATTTTGAAATATGAAATTATTGATAGCAAATGAAACTGTCTAATTCCAATAAAATTCATTGTAGTTATCTTAATAGTGCTGGTCAGATACAGTTCAGTTTTTTTGAAATAAGATTTGTATTGGGATTTTTTCAGCAAACTATTTTTGGTACATTTTCTAGTACCATATTTGCATAGTTATTTTTAAATCTTGAACATATAGCTTACAAGGCTAAAGAATGGTTTGGAAAGTTCCTGTTATGCAATGTAATTGGAAGATAGGCTGTGGATGTTTAACAAGCTGTAAGGAAGCTATTTACTGAAACTCATTAAGCATTTTATGTTTCATCAGTTCTCTGGATCTCACACACATTCACTAGGTATTTCTGCCAGGTTTCTTGGAAATGAGGTGATTATGCTCAATTTTGTTGCAATTCAGGACTGTTCCAGCTAAAGCAGTGTAACACAATTAGCAGGAGGGCTGAGAATGCCAATGAGCAATGTGACCTGTTCAGCATCACATCCTCTTCCCTCCCCTGCTTGCCAAAGCTGCATAGGAGCTGTAAAACAATAGGAGAAGCAAAAAAAGGGAGACTTTTCATGAGTAATTTCTGTATCAAAATGGGTTGGAAAGTTGCTGGTTGAGTGCAGCTCCAGTGGGATGTGTGCCTGTGCCTCTGCACTGCCAGGCTGACAGGCAAACATGGTGTGGGTGACCTGCAACAGGGCAATTTAGGGCCAGAAGGTTTTGGGTAGTTGTCCCTGGTGCAGAATGGAGCTTTGTGGGGAGGTGGTTTCTGTTGAACTGTTTGATGTCTCTCCGAGGATGTTGTAAGTGAAATGTGCTAAAACTTCCATCAGAAATTTCTTTCATTTTTATTTGAAGTCTTGATAAACTTCTGAAGTATCTCTTTGAAAGTATCTCCCATATAGTTATTCCTCCATGTGCTTAGCTATGGAGGTTTTCTGAGCTTATCTGAAGTTTTCCAGGACTGGCAGGTGACAGGGCTGGTTGAGGGCAGCATGTTGCTGATGGGAAGTGTGTGTTTTACAGTAATTTTCCTCCTGTTTTCATAAATAGTTGAAATTTGGGACTTTCCCTAGATTTTTTCCCAGTGCTACTAAGGGATACTTGGTTTTAAACCATTTTTCCATTTCCTTCTCTCACTTTTATTTTCTACCAGTAACTTTTCATTATACCATGGGCTGATCAGATCTTTCTGCTGTGCTTTTTCCCCCATAACTGATGGTTTATCTTTTTATATTATTTTACAGAATTTACAAAAGGATGTAGATAAAATGGATTGCTTCCACAGGGGGCATGAAGCTCTCTGTAAGTCTTGACTGGCAGAGATTTCTAGGTAGGATTTTTCCTGAAATGCTGGGACAGGGAGGCTGTGCCTGCCAGGTGTCCCCTGCAGCAGCCTGTGCTCAGGGACTGTGCAGGTGAGTACCCACCCTGTCTTTGTGCTCCTGGTGGAACCAGGTGAGCTAATTTGGTGGAGAGAAAGAATTCTAATTGAGAAATACCTGCCATGAAAACAAAGGTTTGCTGTCCTCTGCCTCTGGCTTGAGGATCTGTGAGCAGTCAGTGTTGCTGGTCTGTAGCAGCCCCAGTTCCGTGGGAAATGGAAAATTGATTTAAAAAAAAAGGAAAAGAGAAAAAATGACATTATTCTGACATCTGTCTTTTTCCATTAGTCTAAATATTTCATAGTTAAAATTAAATAAGGTTCTGAACGGCCATGTGCTGTCTGACTGTTTAACTGGCCATGGGATGCACTCCTGGTGCCAGGATGCTGCCCCTTCACCCCTTCTCCACCCTTCTGTGCTGGGGGCACTGGCTGCCCCTCTCCTTTGCTGGACCATTGTCCTGGCCCTAGTGTGCCCCAGGAAATGCCTGCTCAGTACCTGAACTGCTGGGCATTCCCTGGCTGTGCCACTCCAAGGGTGGGGGTGCCCAGGGTGCCAGGCTGTGCCTCAGGGCTCCATGGAGTGTGTGCTGGGTGGGCCAGAGCCCAGGAACCTCCCACCTGTTTGTGCCAGGAGGGATTTATTTATTTATTTTCATTTTTTTTCTCTTTTCTAGATTTAGCCAGAAAAAGTTTGGATGGGTTTTTAGGGCCCAAACCAATTTGGGACACTTGAAAGCAGCGCTCCAGCAATTCCAAGTATTCGAATTATAATTATTTCCATCTGTTTGTTTGTTTACTTTTTCAAGGAAGCTCCAGTAGTACTCAGAACAGCTTTATTGTGATAGAAACTTCTAGCCCATTGTGGTTTGAAGAATCCTGTGCTGATTCAGTGCAGCAAAGCCTTGGAAAGTCTCTTTAGGAACACATGCTGACACCATTCCACATCTTCCTCCCCTCTCAGGGCTGAGCTTGCAGCCAAGCTCTGGCTTCTCTCAGATTTTGGTTTAAGTGAGACCTCTTTAAAGAATTGTGTGGTTCCTTCTCTTCCATGCTCTCTTCTGCCTGTACCTGTGGGAGTCTCTGGCTGCTCCCTTGTCTGCCAGTGCCATGGGGAGTGCTGGCAGTGCCATGGGATCATTGGATGTGCCATGGGGAGCACTGGGAGTGCTGACAGTGAAGTGGGGAGTGCTGGCAGTGCCATGGGAGGCATTGGCAGCGCCACAGGGAGCACTGACAATGATGTGGGGAGAACTGGAAGGGCCGTGGGTAGTGCTGGCAGTGCCAAGGGAGTGTTGGCAGTGCCATGGAGGGTGTTGGGAGTGCTGTGGGTAGCACTGGCAGTGTCATGGGGAGCGCTGGCAGTGCCAAAGTAGTGCTGGCAGTGCCAAAGTAGTGCTGGCAGTGCCATGGGTAACACTGGCAGTGCCATAGGGAGCACTGGCGGTGCCATGGGTAGCACTGGTGGTGCCATGGGGAGCACTGGCAGTGCCATGGTAGCACTGGCAGTGACATAGGGAGCACTGGCAGTGCCATGGGTAACACTGGCAGTTCCATAGGGAGCACTGGCGGTGCCATGGGTAGCACTGGTGGTGCCATGGGGAGCACTGGCAGCGCCATGGGTAACACTGGCAGTTCCATAGGGAGCACTGGC